CTTGTTATTTACTTCTTCAGAGCATTTGTTTCCCTGAATATTACCCTGCATTATTAGTTTAGACTTTCACTCCTCCTTTAATTTATTACCTGTATTTTTGTAATCTTAATTCTAGTTTTAAATATATCGTTAAGTAATTGAAGACTCTTCATAATAAGCAACATTTTAAATTTTGTTTTTAGAAATAATATAAATTAAGATGAGGAGGTTTGCAGAATTATTTACACATAAGAACTCCGTAACTACTGTTACTATTGTCTTTCACATTATCTTTTATCATCATTATTACGATTCAATGAGAAAAGATACTGTAGTATATCAACAAGAAAAAAGACGATTATAACTATATAACATTTTATTTGTATATGACTATCAAAATCATAAGTGAGATATATCCTAATTATAATTACATCAAATGAGTAACTGTAGAACTCCACAAACGGAACATAAATTTTTTCTAGTGATAGACATTATTACAACTGAATCATCATCAAGACAAACTATTTAAAATAAGTTAATTTTTTTAATGCCAGGCACATAACCTGAATTCATGCATTTAAAATATTTCATATATAACTAGCTGATCAGTACAGATTGATATTATCTTTTTTTATCATTAATACAGTAGATTCAACCAGAGAAGATACTGTATATCCACAAGACAACAAGAGAAAATACAATAATAACTATCCAGCATTTTATCTGTGTACGGCTACCAAACTCATAAGTGAGAAATATTTTAATTATTATCACATCAAATGAGTAACTATAACACACCACAAGCGGTACTGAAACTTTTCAACTAGAAATATTTCAACAGAATCATCATCTAGACTAAATATTTAAAATAAGTTATACTTATTTAATGCCAGGTACATGACCTGAATCCATGCATTTAAAATACATGGAATATTTAGCTCATGAAATAAAAAATCATTTCTGCATTACATTTGAGCAGTCCTGCTTTTATAATGAACATTTAGTTCATAGTGGTTCAAAATATTACAACTGAATTATCAATGAGACAAAAATATTTTAATAAAAGTCTGTGCAACATTCTGTTCTATTATTATGCAAATCTGGAATTCTATTCATCCTTTCTTATTATACTATTTTATGAAACATATGCTACAGTTAAATTAAAATTTACTTGCACCAAAAAAAGTGAATCCTCTAAAATTGAAACAGATTTTCAAAAGAAACATCTCGAAATAAATGCTTATTTTTAATTAAAGTGTAAGAAACTATTGTCAAAATAAATCAGCATATTATAAAATACACTTCTTCCATAAAGATCACAGAAATAAAATTTCTTTTATTAAGATCACTATAGAAAAATATTTAATTAACCAACAGAAAATTTTTAAAATTAATAATAGAAATTCAATATTGCAATGAACACCAATAGGGATGGCAATGATCAAAAAGTTTTCTTAAGAAACATGTCCTTTAAAGCAAAAATATCTTATTCTTTTCCAACAAATTTCGATCAACAGGATTATTGTTATTTTTATATACTGATTATTGTATTGAATAACCTACATATATTTTTTTTTTTTCATTATCTAAATCATAATGTACGACTTCGGCTTTTGATATATATATATATATTATATATATATATTTTTAAAAATATATATATTATTTAAAAAATATTTTTTTTTTTTATGGAATTACAAACTAAAAACAATTTTTATTTTAAAACTAATGGATAAAAATGTCCTAACATCATAGTTAACTATATCTTATTCTTTCAATGGATAAGAACAGGATATCAATCACTAGATATAAGTAGGTCATTTTTTAATAAATTTTCGATAGTATATGGTTATTCAAAGTGTTTTTAGTTGGTCACTAAGTTTTTTTTTTAATTTTATTAGTATATTGCTTAGAAAAATAAGCTATTCAAATGGCTATTTTATATTATATATTTTATTTTATTAGTTTATTTTATGAAAATTTGCTATCTTGGAAGAATATGAAATAATATGAGGAAATTTGTGTATACATTTGAAAAGGAGTAAAAAATATTAAATAAATAATTATAATTATTAATTTATCAAAATGATTGTTGATCAATGCAATTAGTTGGATATTTTTGTTAAAAAAAATGGTGTAAGGCCAGTGAGTATAGTGGATATGATAAAACTTCATAACAAAGTTCATGGAACTTCTTCGTCCTTACAGAAACGCGCCCCCTGTCATTACCATGTTGAAAGATATATTCTCGGTTATACACTGATGAACAAATTTCTTTTTTATCCAACGGGTAAGCTGATCACAATATATATTTTCTGTGACAGTTTGATATGGTTGTAACGTCTCCCAGTAGATAATATCCCACCAAATGTAAAGAATTAGCTGTTTTTTTGCCACAAATTGGCCTTTGGAAAGATAAGACGCGAATGAACTTCTTCTTCTCATTGCATTGTCAAATACAATCCACATTTCGTCACTAGTAACCAGGAATCCAAGAGTAGGTCATATGGTTGCAAATAAATATGGCAGATCGAATTTCTATTGTTTCTTAATAATAGAAATTCGTTCTACCTTATTTATTTCGCTTAATTCACGATGAATGCAGCGGCACCATTTGTATACAAAAAGTCAAACTTGTTCAATAAAGTTTCATTGCCCACTAAAGTCTTCAGAGCGTCGTCATAAAACTTTTTTTTGGTCTTCCAGTGTGAGTTTCACCTTGAAGCTTCATGTCATCTGACCTGCATTTTTAAGGCCATCTTTGGGCAGTACTTAAATTAACTTTAGATGACCAAAGACGAAACACAAATTTTTATGAGCTTCCTTTGGCTTATGAACCAGTTGGAACTCATAAAGCTCAGAGTGGATAAAACGAAGTTTTTCATGATTCATCATACATCCTTATTTCTCAAACTTTAAGGATTTAAAACCACTTATAATATCAAAAATCAACAAGCTGAAATACTAACTTTTGATTTTTACGAGAATTGTTTAAATAGTATAAAGAACAACGAAATAATGAACATTTTATTTGAGGAACGTAAAAAACGACGTACTTTTCTTGCAAACCCATTAGAACAAGGGTCTCCAAACTACGGGCCGCGGGTCAAATATGGCAGTGAGTGTCATCAATCCAGCCCGCGACAGCGAATAGTTTATTGTTGCTGTAATAAGTTGGATAAAAGCACAGAATGATAATAACTCGGTTTTAGTGACTTGCTAGGAGACAAGAATAATACGCAGAAAATTTAACTTAAGCATAACAACTAACAAATAATTGAAATGAATCCCACTAACATTCTAAATTAGTGAACATCACTCGGTTATCTTCTGTAGTTATGATGGGGTAAAGAGTATCGCATATTTATGTATATCGATGTTTGGAATGTATATATCCTGAATCAAACATATGATTTTTATCCTGAAAAATCCCCCAGGAACGGAATAGTCTAGAAATTATAGATAATCGCAGAAAAATTAAAATGGTTTTGGCCCTTGATACTTACTGGAGTAAACAGTATGACCCTAAGGCTGAAAAGTTTGGAGACCCCTGCATTATAATCTTAATATAGAAACATCATTATAATAAAACAAGAAAAAAAAATAACATTAGATATTCACTTAATTGAAATTTACATAATCGTTTTAAATTAAACAAATTTGTTTTGGTATTTTTTTTAAAAATTGAAAATAAAAAAAAAAAAAAATCATTGCTTTTTCAAAGGGAAAAACTATTAAAACTGTTGAGAAAGTAATTTATTTGTCAATTTAATCATGAAACAAAAACTTAATTGATTATATTTAATGATTTTTTTATAAAATAAATATAATAACACAATATTCTTAATTTCTTTTCTACTTGTGATTTTACTATTTTAATATTTCTTAATAGTTTTCACAAAAATAACATTTATAGAATACAAAAGAAACAAATGTCAATGTACATGTTTATTCATAAATATGCGTAAGTTTTTATTATTATTATTATTTTTTTTTTAAATACGCAAAAAATTAATTTTTATTAAAAGGTGTATGATAAAAATATAACTTAATAAATATTACATTCATTGTGTATATTTCTATGATTATTAATCATATAATTCTTTCAAATTATCATCTTTATTATTATAGATAATCTTTAATAAGAGAAAATATTCAAAATTTGAAACTTTGTTAGATGATTTATTGATACATTTCATTTATTATGGTTGCATAATCCTTGAAGAGCACATATTCTTTAGATGAGTACGTTCATCACGAACCAGAAGCGAACTGATGATCTTTACTTTTGTGCTCTTGTCTTGTTATTTTCTTTTTCATTGTTCAGAATACAGATTCAATATTTTCGTAACAGCTTCTTACGTACGAGCTTCTTTTTCGAACATGTGTATTTTTGTTTTACTCAGTTAAACAAATTTGCCATTTTGTATTCATTTTGTATTTCATTAATTCTAATTTGTTTTGAACTACCTTAATATTATCGGCATTCGAATATACTTGTTTGTCGTGTGTGGCGACTCCAATATCAAACTAAACCTATTCTGGCGATTGAGATTAGGCGGAGTTGGGCTCTTGTGTTGTAAAACATATCGTTGGCATTTGCTTCTGGTCGACAGGAGGTACACCTTGTTTAAAGATCTATCAATTAACTGCTAATCATCCCCCCGGTTGGAGACGCTTAGTATTGATACAGCTTAATATTAGAAAAGAGATCAATTTCATCTCTTTCTAGTCATCTCTTTAAGGGTGTTGATAGTTCCAGGGAGAGTCTCTAACATAGATCCTTAACATAATATTGATTTTCCATGTTGATCTCGATATTGGCGATGCGTTATCGAAAGTGAAGTATATATACATTAATTAACACTTGGAGAAGGTATTAATTCTCTAAATATTCTCAGTGGCCTTGGTTAAGATAAAAGATTAAATAAATGAATTATAACAATAATTGATTGGTTATTATATTATATATATATATATATATATATATATATATATATATATGTATATGTATATATGTATTCTCGTTATATCACCGAAGTCAAGCATCATTGGGCGCGGTCAGTACTTGGGTGGGTGACCACCTGGGAACACCGCGTGCCGTTGGCCTTCACAAATTTGGGACCTGAATGGCCGAGTGTCTAACGCTCTGGCGCTCGGTGCCACAGGTTTCGGGTTCGAATCCCGGCGGTGCCATGGATGTTTGTAGTGGTTCGGAATCCACTTTAGGTCCGGTCTCTTATGACTGTAAGAGCGTCACGGAGCCAAAGTCAGACTTCTACCCACGGGTGCTCCATCACAACAGAAGCTGCTTCCTTCCCCTTCAATCATGAGTACTTATGGGCTCGTGGGTTTGGTCAGCCAAGTGGGATAAGGAACAACAAACAATATATATATATATATAATAAGTTAACTTTCCCGATCATCATGAATTATCTCTGTTATTTTGACTGCCAAAGATACGGACGTTCTAAAAATGTTTGACAGGGTAAAACGACATGTTATTATTGTACCCTTTCGCTCACCCACAAGATTGTATTACAGAACCTGAATGTCCCAATTGCCAACAAGAGCATCCTTTAACCTCTAAAAGCTACCACCAGGGGAATATAGAAACGAAAATACTGGAAATAAAAGCAACAAGAAACCTAACTTGTTTTGCAGCCAGCAAAAATTCTTGTAAGTAAATATGTGCAAATTACATCCATGCTATCATGGACTTTTGGATGATAAATATATAAGTTGGGAAATGTTATTCTACTGGTATCGAACAAGATGAGAGGATGGTATGAACCCTCAAACGACATACTTACGGTTCTGCGTTCAACGTTTTGATAGCAAATCGTGGGTACAGTGTAGCAAGTGATTTCCTGAGGTATCCAGATTAACAATGAATTATCTTCGACAGGTGAATGCGTGACATAGGCAGTAGAGTAACACTGGTATAAAATAACATTGGCTTGAATTTGAAAACCACAACAGCAATTAAGATTGTTATCAGTTATTGTAATTTATTAAAGCTATTTTAAATGTATATAAAATGTAATAACATCTTCTTGAAATTCTTATTGAAACAAAGTTTGAAACTTAATTAAGACTATAACATTTGTGAAACTTTCCTGAAGGCATATATTAACTTTACGTACCGATTCAGTCACATAACGTGAATTTTAATTGAATTTATCAAGTCTCTCGTAAGCACCCATGCCTAGAATCCTGAAAAATACATTTTCCAAAACTCTGACCTAGACACAAATATGACCCAAAGTGGTCGTCATATCCATATACTAATTTACAAACTCATATAAAGTATATTCTTCTCATAAATAAGTTTGTTCTATGTCAGTTATTATCTTGTGTTTGGCACAATACATCTCAAGAGATTTTAGTCCATAAAATTACAACTAACAACCATCTACAGCTGTTACATTTCTCTTTATAAAGTGCATTTTAAATTAAGCAGTCTTTGCCTGAAGCAAATTAGCATTAATTTTAATTTGATGTTAAGCCAATAACGTAAATTGAGTAGATCTCTTAAAATATTAATAATGCTTCCATTTTTAATGGAAATTGCTTTCAAAAGATGATCCGTAAAGTTTAGATTAGAAATAATAAGTTGTGTAAACTCTTTTTGCTCAAGATGTTTCAAAAGTTTATATTTGAATAGTAACGCATACTAATTCATTAAAATTTAAATCATGACGACATAAATAACTTGTAAAATATAAGCATAATGCAGTTATTCTGTGTCATTTCCCCTTATGCCACTTTTAAATACAATAACCCATTCACAGTCAAAAACGAGTCAGATTACCTTGGACTTCAAGATCTCTCATTGGCCAACTAATATTCGAGGAATTTCCCCCCCCCCGAGGCTTTTTCTTCTTAGTGACATAGTTTGAGCGTCATGTTCTGAGCGTCTGTTCTGCGTAAATCATGTTCTGCTAAGAATATTTGTAAGATATATGATACACAGATATGTTACAAATAATGCTACATCAAATCAATAATTGTTCAAATGCATGCACAAATATATACTTTATATGTATGTATATGCACTTTTGAAAAAAAAAAAAAACACCATACAGAAAACGATTATATCTATTTAATTTAAATATACTCAAAGCCGTTACACAAAATATTTAAGACCGTATGATATATTAATGGCTATCAATTATATGATGAATGTTTAAATTAATAACTGGTTAAACCTATTCAGAGAGCAATGTATGCTTGTATATGTCTATGTAAGAAATTACTCAATTTCTATCTGATTCTGCGATATGCCAAACATTAATCAATTTTTGACACATTGTAGCAATTTTCGTGTTTCTTATTATGGCGTCTTATTGGACCTTACATATTCAATTGGTAAAAGATCTGATAACCATGTCAGAAATAGAAGGGTAACAACACTACAAAGTCAGTTCAGAGATATGATAGCCTTGTGACTTTATTCGTAAAGTAACATGAGGGTGTGTTTTAGGATATCACTAACATATCACAACGTCTCTAAAATTGTACACAGTATGATTAAGGGTGACATGATATTCGTAGAAAATCGTTCTCCGAGCCTCAAACCAAGAGTCAAACCAATTTTTTGCTTCTGTAAACAAAGGATGATTGGTCCGTTGACAGCTTCACACCCAAATCGTATTGCCTTCTGCTCTAGAAAGGGACTCAATGTTAAATATTATACTAACCAACTCTGCTGACACCCATAATGATTAGCTACAACACCTTTACAGACGTCTGTATTAATGTAGGGGCTAAAGTAGTTTTAAGCGAAAACTTACCTCTTCAAAGTGCCTTGCTATGGTGAAAGACTATCACGGATAGTAGAATAGAAGCAGTAGCATGGTTGATGAACAATGTTGCCGTTAAAGTAGTAAGGACTCATTATCCTGTCACCAAGCTTTAGAGCAACTTGACCTTCCAGAGTCCTCATTACATCTATCAATCTTCTTACAGCCACCACTACTGACAACATCTTTCACAGCATTATTCGTATATTTAAGCATCTCACCAATTCGATCACGTTCAATGTTATTGTTCATGTTTGATACAATATTGTAATTATAATGGTAGCATCTCAAATGAACTGCAATCTGCCAACGCTATAACATAAATTTCTGTAATTGTTGCCTTTTTTTTTTACAACGATAAATGCGCACTATATTGGTAGTTAACACATATTTCCATGAATGAATTAATTGAATATTTAGTAAAAAAGATAACTACGGAAATTTTGAGATGATCGATTATTATTTTTTTTTCTTTTTGCAAAAGTAATAATATATTTGTACTATATGTGTTTTTTTTATTATACATAGAATACACAACTAGCAATAAATTAACCATGTTATTCACAATTGTGGAATATTTTCACCTTTAACACATTATTTAAAAAAAAAATAGTACACATTAATAATTATTAACACACTTTTTATTATTAACACACAATTATTAACACACTTAATTATTAACGCACAATTATCACACATTGATATTATTAACACACTTTACACATTATTTAAAAAAAATAATCTTAAATAAAATTTCAGATTTATTAAAAAGTTCTGTTTTTAATTACATTTTCTTCTTTTTGTATTGAGATGTAAAGCATTCTATGCGTACAACATTTGTAATATTTGACTATTTCATGAAAATTTCTAATTGAAGATTGATTAAATTTCTAATTAAATTTCTAAATGAGTTATTTTTCGCATTTAGATTGCTTCCAAAGCATATTACTTGAATGTGTGTCAATAAAGGGAATTTCATTTCCATTAACATTTCATAAAAACACTTTTTATGAAACCTCATTTCGTTGCATAAGATGTCATTAGATTTTAAAGATGTTAATGATGCTGTTTGAAATTTTAAATAATTTGGTACATTATAAAATATTATTTGTATTATAGTATCATCTAATGATAAAGAATGATTATAGCTTTCATACATTTTAATTCGGTCTTGGACATTTTTTTTTTTTTTGAAATTTAGAGTATCAAATTAACTAAGAATATTATAACATTATTTCAGGCTTAAATTCTTAAAAATTTGATATAAAAATTTCTGATAAATGTATGTACTTTGGAATGAATTTAGCTATATAAATAAATTTTTCTTTAATTTTTGTGTCGACAACATTAACAGCAACCCAAAAACATAATATAATATAATTTTTTTCTGTGAATTATGTGTCGACAAATGGAATATACAGATTTCCAACAAATTTATATTGAACTATATTTTGTAAAATGTAATTTTTATCATCAATGTAACCAACACAAAAATCAATCTAAAATCTAAGCATGAATGTAGGAAAATATAGTTAGTAATGTAAGTATTTCTAAAGAGAGTTATTATAGACAATAATTTAAAAATTAAAAATATATTGATTTGAATTTGAGTTATGTTTTTGGAGTACCATTTGTTAAAACCGACATAGAAATGATGCCGTTAGTCTACGTATACTCGTAGGACGGCCAAATAATTTAACATTAATATAAAAACAATTAATAAAAATACGAAAATGAATACTAAAACAAACAACTATTTTCCTTTACTTTTAAGGAATACTAATATATACAATTACAATCAAATTTAGGATCTTTACATTGGCACTTAAAACAGACTAAATAAAAAATGTTTATAGAGAAGCAATCATAATGTTACGCATATCTCAAATGAAATATTCCCATGAGTGGGTAGGCAGTGATTTACCAGTAGCCTCAAAACCTTTTAACAAAAAGAATGCTCCCCACAAATTCAAAAATGGGCATAGATATATCTTATAAATTACCCAAGTAGCCATTCTCGCAGCAAAAAATTGTGTACCAGGCTCACACACTGTCGCAGATCGTTCGCTCTGCTTTCAACGGGTCTTCCCTTTTGCCCGCAAAAACTCCAAAAAAGGGTCCCAACAAAACAGACCGGTTCTTTTGCACCTGACCGTGTGACCGGGAGGGGTTATCTACCATTCCTGGATTCATACAAAAAATAAAGGAAATACACCTTACCCACACACAACAGGATAATTACCAGTCACAACAACATTGTTTAAAATTTTTTACATTGATTTTAGTAGCGTTTAAAATTGA